ATATAGAGAGGTGAGAGAGAGAGAGAACTGACCTGCGCAGAAAATCTGTGAAGACGGAGAGTGACTCGGTCTCGTCGGTCGTCGTGCGTGACTCGCTCGTCGTTCTCGTGAGAAGCTGCGCTCGTCGGGGTTGTAAAAGCTGCGTTCAACCTCAATCCTCGCCGGGGTTGGAGAGCTATGCTCGTCGTCTCACCGCTGTTGGAGAGCTACCCTCGTTGGAGCTCCTCGACAAAGAGGCACAGCAGAGAAGAGAAGAGAAGGAAGAATAGAGAGAGAGTCTTCAAATGTTTTGTGAAAATGATTTATTGAAATTTGAAATGAAAAGAGGGAGAAACGGGCGAGTTTGCCTCAGCTTTTGACGTTGGCGGCCACGTCATTAGTGGTGATTTAGTGATCAAGTTTTAGTGGTCGGAAGCATTTTTGCAAAATCTATTCCATCCATCAGTCTTTATTGAAAAGTTCAAATAAAAAGTACAGTTGAACTGAAAATAACAAAAGTAGATAGGTAAATAAATATATATTATAATAATTGGGAAATTTTAATATATACATTTTAAAAGGAAATATATAATATACATCTTTAATTATTATTTTTTATTTAGTTTGATATTATTTTAATTATGATTAAGGGGATTTTTTTTGTTTAGTTATAACAATTTTTTTGTAATTATAACTCAAAAATATAAAATTATATATATATATATATATTATTTTTAATTATACTCCAGACTTTTGAGCTTTCAAGCCGAAAGTGTTTTAAAGCCTGAAAAGCTGGAAACCAAACAGCGGTCTTTCAAGCCCAAATCTTGATAAAAAGCATTTTGGTAAAATTACCGCATCTTCTAAGAATTCCATGTTGATGGTGTGTCTACCTTATTACACGGGATCTATAACTGTGTGGACCTAAATATAAAGAAATAGTGGAAAATGACAATGATGGATACACCTTGCCCTCTAAATTTTGGAAAACATCCTATGTATTAATATTACTTATTATATTTCTTTAAATTATATAAATTCGTCTCTCTAAGTTGTAAAAAAGATTAAGTTATGAAAATGTGGTATCCCGAGCTATAAATTTAACAATTAAAATAAAATATAACCCTAAAAAAAAAAAAATTCATTTATCACGACTAAGATTCATAGATTGTTTTACAATTCCTATTTTTTGTCACTCAACGTGAATTTAAGAAAATACTTTATTTATATATGTTTTTATGATATTTCTTATTTTATATTAGTAAAAATCATGTTGTAGTTATATTTTTCATTTTCAAAATATTTATTAATATATATGTTACTTCCCCCTATTACAATTTTGAGTCCATCTCTTATTGGACGGACATACGTGCACGTGGCCTTCCTTATCTATTGATAATTTTTGCCGTCTCTCCAAGAGGCAAAACTTTAACCGAAAGCATAGAATTTAGCCTCTTCATTCTCATAGAACCGGCCCCAGTTCGACACTCATATAGGTGATTCTTATTGTAAGTATCTCTTTATACTTGTCTTGATTTTTATGCTTAAATCAAGATATATGTAATCATTAAAAGCTAAGCTTATCCTTAGACCCCTACATACAACACATGTTACAGATATCACTCTCACCATAGGAATGGGTAGGGAATTTTAATCCCTTTGTAACGCCCTCAAAATAATAACAATAAACCCATCGAATAAGACTTATAAACTCACCACATTCTTTCATTCATTAGAATTCCAAGACATAGGTATTACATGTTTAACCTCATAACTAAATGCCCTACGGGCTTACAGATATGTATATCAACAATATCCATAGATAAGCATACAAGCTGTATCCACACTTCACTTCACAAAGATAAGCATATGAGCTCTATCTTCACTTCTCTAGACAAGCATATGAGCTCTAGTCGTTGACATAAATATGTTATTTATGTGATTGTATCAGTGTTGGCCATCTATCAATTGCTAATATTTTGAGGTTGCTTATCGGTTGGTTTAGTGTATTTCTACTGGGCTGTGGCTCACCCTATATGGGAATATCATTTTCAGGTGCAGGAAGCATGCCACCTCCAAGGACATAGCTTGGGAGGCTAGAGGCGGACATAGTGTAGTTGTTTTACTTTTGATGTATTACATGTAACTTCAAGCCAAGGGCTTAATGTGTAAACGAGTTAGTACTCTTTTGTTGAAACCAAGTGTTAACTTGGAAAGCTGTAAGCCCATAGGGCATTTTATTTTGATGTTAACATGTAATACTTATGTAATGAAACTCAATGAAATAAAGGAATGTGGTTAGTTTATATGTAAATGCATGTCTTATCTGATGGGTTTAATGTTATTATTTTGAGGGCGTTACAATCGGGGCTGGGGCTGGGGCTAAGGTTATTTTCACAATTAGGGATCGGGGACGGGGAGTGTGATCCTCGGCCCCACCCCACCCCATTGTCATTCCTAGTTATTCCCCCATGTACATGCCTTGCACCGGTTGTCTCTATACAGATATTTCTGATAGAGGCACCTGTTTTTCTATATATAGATGACCACCCCTCTTGATTTTAGGTTAGAAAATTTTGCCAAAGCTCCAAAGCTTGCTAAACACTCTCCCTCTCTATCTTGCAACATACATACACTTCTTAAACCAAAAATTTGTGGCTCCTTGTTGAGGTTCTTGAGCTAAAATCTCAGCCCTTGAGAGTGGATATCTTATGGTTTGTAAACAAAAGAGCAACTCCTCTTCAAAAGGTATAACTTTGGCCATCTTTACACTGCTTCTTCCTTCTCTTTTCTTGCTGTTTTTATGCTGTTTTAGGACTGTTTTTGTGGGTTGAAACTTGTGATTTAAAGCTACCAAAGGTGGTGGGGTTAATCACCTTTTCTTGAACCTTGTTCCATAAGCTTTTATCGTTGTGTTTCCCACTTGTTTCTTAACTTTTAGCCACTATTTTTCAGAGCTTTAAGAGGCTCAAATATGTGGTTTTAAGGTCTAAAAAGTGGAGGGGTTAGCTATCCCTCCTTAGGCTTACTTATTAGCTTTAATTCTCTTATATTTTGCTTACTTTTTTTTAGCTTTTGTAAACTGATTTCAGCATTGTTTTGCTGTTTTTTGGGTTGTTTTAATTGTTTAGTTAGCTTATGCTTTGAATATTAGGCTTGTGTTGTTATAAGTCTTCATAGCTTTGGTAGTTTAGGCCTTAGACACCAACCTATTTGAGTTGATAGCTTTTATTTCATATTTTTCATACATGCACTCACTCTTGTAATAATCATCTCTAAAACCTCCATCCTTTCTTGGTTTTCTTTGTTTAAGAATCGTTTCAAACAATCGATGGTTGTTTAAAGCATGAGAGAGAGACCTTTCATGCTTAATGGTTTAATTTCTTCAGAGATTCATTACCAAGACTCTCTCATGTCAAGAACAACTTCTTGTTTAACACTTCTCTTCATTAGTGGACGTAACTATCACTTCCAGACAAAATGATTAAAGAATGGCAAAGTAATATAAAAGAGGCTAATAAAATTGGAGTAAAAGAGGCTAACAAGATAATAAAATCAAGTCGAGTTCAATCGGACGTTAATTGAACCTATTGTGTCTTGACTCATTGTGTACTCTCTAGTGACGTTCAATGGCTCAAGAAACAATGTTCATTACTTTCTTTGAGGTAACTCCATGATAAGAAAATGGTGTTGTTAGTCTTTCATTTTTGTTTATTGAGCATTTGTCCCATCGATTCATAGATCATCATGCAATAACCTTGCGATGATTGATGGTTTGTGGACCGATTCTACTGCTCCCTTGATCAGTTTCATGATAAAGAGAAGCAGAGAGGACAAACATCCCCTGGAAACAGTCTGTTTTGCTCTGTTTCCATTCTGTTACAGCAAGGTAGTACCTCAAAACAGTGGCCAGCCGACTACTCTACCATCGGCTGACCACTTTTCAAAGCCAGCCGGCCACCTTGTTTTGGATAGACAATGCCATGTTCATGGATGAACAGAATAGAGGCTGGGATGAAACAGATTAATTTTCTGACTGCAAAACAGAGGAGTTTCCAGGAGAAAGTTCTCGGTTGCGCGTGTGGTTCTTCAACTCTCGTTCGAATTAATTAGCTTAAATTGTTCTTAGATTAATTAGTGTGTTGTAATTAATTAGTTATATTCCTTTGAATTTATAATAGCTAGTTAAGTTAGTTAATTAATTTGGTGTTGTAATAATTAGTTAATTAGGATATTCATTCGGACCCTCTTGTGCGAGGACCAATTTGTAACACTTATGATATTTGTATGTCTTCCAACCCCCATTGATTCATGTTTTAATTTTCATAACATTACCATGACTTGTATCCATCTTTGCATGCATTCAGTTCGGTGCATCATTCTAACCTTGTCGTTGTTTCTTACTTATGTGCATTACCGCATGCAATCAAATTGATTCATATGCCATGTTAAATAAGCCGAACCTCGTAGTTGCATTTTACATGTGCTGCATTAGTCACTTGCACAATAAAGCATGCATTTTTCTAATGGTTTCATTTTTTTTTTTTTTTTGGCTTGCCTTGGTTGAGTACTAGGTGAGCATTTCTTGCTTTGGCATATTGCATATGTGTTGGTGTTTCCATATCAAGCATGCTTACCATAAGGCTAAGTGCTTAGTTGGTATACTTCTTGAATGCCGATGAATGAAGGTTTTTCCGCTTAAATTGGGATGATTTGATACATATAAATGTGATCTTACTTTTTCAAGTAGCACATATTTAAAACTCTTTTCAAACAATCATGAAATCAAAACGTTCCAAAGTAGACAGATTAGTCTATATTTGTGTTCATTACATAGTGTGGGAGCCGAATAAATTTATATTAAGGAAAGCCAAATCTATTTGAAGGAAATCAGGACAAATACTATTCGGCTCCGTCCTGGGGGGTCCTGAAGCCAAATATTTAAATCGGCCATGGAATCAGCTGTACAAGAAGCCGAATGGGAATTGGCATACGACAGAAAGGTCGAATGAGCAATTATGCACTAGATTAAAAGTGGGCCTGACCCCTAGGACCAGAGACTAGTATAAATAAGAGGAACATCAACCAAAGAGAAGTATGTGAAAATAGATTAAATAAACTTGAGATAGAAGCAAACTAGAGAGCATATACTAACTTGACCATCAGAGTGCTAATTCTGACACCCTTGACCGGAGTGTTCATCATTTTTCAGGTGGCAATAAGAGGATCAGGAACGTCTTACAGGATCTAAGAGTATTTCCAAACCACATTTTCGTAATTGGCGC